AACATGGAATGTATGAAGTATGAATCTAGGAAAATTGGAAGTTGTCAAAAATGAAATGGAACACATAAAGATTGATATCCTGGGCATTAGTGAGCTGAAATGGACATATGATCTACTATGCCAGGAATGACAAATTGAAGAGGAATGGAGTGGCATTCATCATCACAAAAGATGTTTCAAGATCTGTTCTGAAGTACAATGCTGTCAATGATAGGATAATATTCATACACCTACAAAAAAGACCAGTTAATACAACTATTATTCAAATTTATGCACCAACCACTGAAGCAAAAGATGAGGAAATTGAAGATTTGTGTCAACTTTTGCAGTCTGAAATTGAACACGCAATCAAGATGTGTTGCTTATCACTGGTGATTGGAATGCAAAAGTTGGGAACAAAGAAGAACCACCAGTAGTTGGAAAATTTGGTCTTGGTGACAGAAATAACACTGAAGATCGCATGATAGAATTATGCAAGACCAACGACATATTCATTGCAAATACTTTTTTTCAACAACACAAATGGTGGCTATACATGTGGACTTTGCCAGAGGGAGTACACAGGAATCAGAGTGACTACATCTGTGGCAAGAGGTGATAGAAAAGCTCAATATCTTCAGCCAAAACCAGGCCAGGAGCTGATTGTGAAACAGACCATCAATTGCTCATATGCAAGTTCAACTTGAAGTTGAAGACAATTAAAACAAGTCCACAACAGCCAAAATATGATCTTGAATATATCCCTCCTGATTTTAGAGACCATCTAAATAATAGATTTGATGCATTGAACACCAATGACTAAAAAACAGAATTGTGCAATGACATCAAGAGTATCATCCATGAAGAAAGCAAGAAGTTATTAAAAATACAAGAAAGAAAGACCAAAATGGATGTCTGAAGAGACTCTGAAACTTGCCCTTGAGGGGAGAGTAGCTAAAGCAAATGGAAGAAACGACAAGATAAAAGAGCTGAACAGAAGATTTCAAAGAGCAGCTCGAACAGACAAAACCAATTACTATAAAGAAATGTGCAAAGACCTGGAGTTAGAAAGCCAAAAGGGAAGAATATGCTTGGCATTTCTCAATTAAAAGAACTGAGGAAAAAATTTAAGCCTCGAGTTGCAATAGTGAAAGATTCTATAGGCAAAATATTGAATGATACAGGAAGCATCAAAAGAAGATGGAAGGAATACATAGAGTCACTGTACCAAAAAGAACTGGTCGATCTTCATCTGTTTCAGAAGGTGGTATATGTTCAAGAACCAATGGTATCGAGGGAAGAAGTTGAAGCTGAGCTGAGGGAATTGGCAAGGAACAAGGCTCCAGGAATTGGCGGAATACCCATTAAGATGTTTCAACATACGGATGCCCCGCTGGAGGCACTCACTCGGTTATGCCAAGAGATTTGGAAGACAGCTACCTGGCAACTGACTGGAAGAGATCCATATTTGTACCCATTCCAAAGAAAGGTGATCCCACAGAATGTGGAAATTATCAAACAATATCATTAATATCTCATGCAAGTAAAATCTTACAGAAGATAATTCAAAAATGCTTGCAGCAGGTATATTGACAGAGAACTTTCAGAGGTGCAGGCCAGATTCACAAGAGGACGTGGAATGAGGGATATCATTGCTGATGTCAGATGGATCTTGGCTCAAAGTAAAGAATACCAGAAATATGTTTATTTGTGTTTTATTGACTATCCCAAAGCATTTGATTGTGTGGATCATAACAAATTGTGGATAACATTGAGAAGAATGGGAATTCCAGAACACTTAATTGTACTCATGAGGAACCTGTACATAGACCAGGAGGCTGTCAAACAGAAAAGGGGAACACTGCATGTTTTAAAATCAAGAAGGGAGTGCATCAGGGTTGTATCCTTTCACCATACTTATTCAATCTGTATGCTGAGCAAATAATCCGCGAATTATTTGACTACATGAAGAAGAACATGGCACCATGAATGGTGGAAGAATCTTTAACAACCTGCAATATGCTGACGACACAACTTTGCTTGCTGAAAGTGAGGATAACTTGAAGTACTTACTGATGAAGATTGAAGAATACAGTCTGCAGTATGTACTACATTTCAATATAAAAAATACAAAAATCCTGACAACTGTAACTATAAGCAGCATTACAATAAATGGAGAAAAGATTGAAATTGTCAAAGACTTCACATTGCTTGGTTCTACAATCAACACCAATGGAAGCAGCAGTCAGGACATTAGAGGACATATAGCACTGGGGAAATCAGCTGCAAAGGACTTCTTTCAAGTGCTAAGGAGCAAAGATGTCTCCTTGAGGACTAAGGTGCACCTGACACAAGCCATGGTATTTTCAATCGCCTCATATGCATGTGAGAGCTGGACAATGAAGAAGACCAAAGAATTGATGCTTTTGAGCTGTGGTGTTGGCAAAGAATGCTGAAAGTACCATGGACTGCTAAAAGAACTAACAGGTCTGTCCTGGAGGAAGTGGAGCCAGAATGCTCCTTGGAGGTGAGAATGGCCAGACCTTGTCCACATACTTTGGTCATGTTGTCAGAAGGGACCATTCCCTGGAGAGAGATGTCATGCTTGGTAAGGTGGAGGGTCGATGAAAGAGGGGAAGGCCATCAGCAAGGTGGATTGACACGGTGGCGGTGGCGATGGGCTCAAGTGTAGCAAGAATTGTGGAGCTGGTTCAGGACCAGGCAGTGTTTCGTTCTGCTGTGCATAGGGTCGCTGTGAGTTGGAGACAACTCAATGGCCGTTAACAACAACAACATTCAATTCGTATGCTGAGCAAATAATGCGAGAAGCTGGACTATATGAAGAAGAATGCAGCATCAGGATTGGAGGAAGATTCATTAACATGAGTTAATATCCAGATGACACAACATTGCTTGCTTAAAGTGAAGATTACTTGATGTACTTACTGATGAAGATCAGACACTACAGCGTTCAGTACGTATTACACCGCAACAGAAAGAAAATGAAAATTCTCACAACTGGACCAATAAGCAGTGTCATGATAAACAGAGAAATTGAGGTCGTCAGAGATTTCATTTTACTTGGATCCACAGTCAATGCCCATGGAAGCAGCAGTCAGGAAATCAGACATCGTACTGCACTGGGCAAAGGTGCTGCAAAACACCTCTTTAAAGTGCTAAGAAGCAAAGATGTCACTTTGAAGATTATGATGCACCTAAGCCATGCCATGGTATTTTCAATAGCCTCATATGCATGTGAAAGTTGGACAATGACTAAAGAAGAAAGATGAACTGACACCTTTTAATTGTGGTATTGCAAAGAACACTAGAGGAAAATACCATGGATCGCCAGAAGAACAACACATCTGTCCTAGAATTAGTGCAGCTGGAATGCTCCTTAGAAGCAAAAATGGCCAGACTTTATTTCACCTACTTTTGGTCATGTTATCAGAAGGGACTGTTCCCTGGAGAAGGATATCGTGTTTTGTAAAGTGGAGGATCAGTAAAAAAGGGAAAGACTCTCGATGAGATGGATTGACACAGTGGCTGCAACGACGGGCTCAGGTATAGCAAGGACTGTGAGGATGCTGCAGGACCAGGCAGTGCTTCATTCTGGTGTCTATAGGGTCACTATGAGTCGCATTCAACTACAGCACCTAACAACAGTACATATCATTTGGTGTTCCTGGCTGAGGCAAACAGTTAATGCACTCAGCTGCTAACCAAAAGACTGGAAGTTCAAATATACCCGAGGCATTTTAAAAGTAAGGCCTGATGATCTACTTCTGAAAAGTCAACCACTGAAAATCCTATGGAGCACAGTTCTACTCCGACACACATGGGATCATGAGTCAGAATTGACTCAATGGCAACTGGCTCTGGTTTTATATATATTATTTCAGAATGTGGACAAAATATAAAAATGTGCATTATTAAGTCCTCTCCATCTATGCAGCACAATTATTAGTCAGGTTCCACTGAGCCTGCAACAGCAAAATTTAAAATATAATAGAAGAGCAAAAACCTTTTGTATAAAACACATAAGTTTAGAAGTCTAATTATCTGATGTATGGTTTATTAACAATAACTTGCTGACTATGCACTTAAATCAAAAAGATCTGTTTTAAGCATGTCTTTTATGCTAAATATATGATTTCAGGTAAAAATATAAAAAGTAATATTTCTCTCTTAACAGTGGCCATTAACGTGCCATGTATAGAATGTATAACTAATCTGCAAACACTAAGATTTGGCCCTGATAATTATCCAATGATATTGTTAAAATTAGCATAAGAGGTTAAAACTTGTGCTAATCTGGGAATTAAAACAACTCGGGAATACAGATTATGTAAATAATATAGAAATATCACAATGCGATAGATTTGATACTCAGATTTATTTTTTCAAAAAATATTAAGTACAAACTTAAATCATCAGAAGTTCACAGTAGACCTTTCAAGCATTTGGAAATTCTGGCTTATTGTAATAAAGTGTAAACCATTGCTGTTTCCAACAACATGCAAAATTCACACTTGATTGAAGAATACTCATTAATAATTTAACTTCTTCAGAAAATATCAAAAACGAATTACCATTATATTGTAAACATGATCAAAACGAATCTTAAGCTATGAAAAAAAACCCATCATTCCCCAAAGCAGCACAAATCTCATCCTTCAAAGGCAAATGTATAGCAAATAAAGGAAAAGATATTAACAGAACTGACTTGTCCATTATAATAAGAGAAATAAGAAACTCTTTTTAACAGGGGTGGTCCCTGGAAAGGTACAGTTTTGAAAGGTAATGAGGTGATTTAAAATTTTCACTTTGTAATTCTGTGAGGGCTCATTAATGTCCATTTGATTATTCAGAAGATGTGATCTTCTCAAGAAGCACCTTCTAACAGCAGTCTTGGAATGTTAGTGATGGCTTGGAGAGTGCTGTATTAACATAAACAAGAAAAGTATGTTATTAAACTTGCAGGCAAAGAATTCTTTTCCAAGAAGTCGTCTCAGAATATTACCAGCTTTTTAGATCTGCACCACGATTGGGTTTCCTTCATATTTATACATCTTGTGTATTGCAGAAGAGAAAAACTTAGATGTTCACAGTGAATTAGTTTTCTACTCATTATCAATGTAGTGACCCTCACTCCTAAAATTAAAATACAAACACACACATACACAAATAATAATAATAAGGAAACTCACTGCTGCCTTCAAAGCTTGATCTAGATCCTCCAATAGGTCTTTTTTATCTTCTAAGCCCACAGAGAGTCGAATCAATGTGTCACTAATTCCTAGAACATCTCTGGCATTCTTCGGAACAGATGCGTGGGTCATAATTGCCCTGAAAGAACAAATGAGCATGTTTCTCATATCTATATTGTGTCTATGGAAGTACATTTATATCTTATGCATTGCAATTAGCTTCAATTATTTCTACTCCAAATATCAAGTGTTTTGTTTTCCCTTCTATTTTTTCACAGGCTATAAATGAGGAAAAAAAAAAAAAAATCTCTTCTAATCATGATTCTATGTGAAATCCAGGACCTTTCATCGGTGAGTAAGGCATACTCAATGCACACGCAGAAGGTGCCAACCAAACACCCCCTGGCAGGTGTGAAAGGCACAGCCACCTGTGTCTTTTAAGACCTGCCCAAAAGAGGCCTTTGAAGGAAGTCATATACCTCATGAACCACCTGCGGACAGCTACCCAAAACTCTGACTTACAGGAGGCTTCTTAGAGCAACAGCTTGCCAGAACTAGTTCCTTCTGATCAGCAGATCAATCTAGAACTGGACCCCCTGATGCAGACAGGAAAGACCACCTGGGTTTATTAGCTTCCATGAAGCATCCCTGTGACAACAGACATAGAGACCAACAACATAGAGACCCTGAAGGATTTTCCAAACTATCTAACAACTCATCGTCATTATCAACATGTGCAAAGGCAAAGCATTTACTATGTGTCAGGCACTAGAGTAAGAATTTAAAACCAAGAAGAGTGAGACATATTCTTTCCCTTGGATTATGAAGTGAGAGCTAAAGAATATGACAACTCACAAAACAGAATAACCAAACTCACTGCCACCAAATCAGATCTGACTCAGGGTGACCCCTCCTTGCTTGGGTTTCCGAGGCGGTATCCCTACGAAAATAGATTGCCCAACCTTCCTTCCAAGGAGTAGCTGGTGGGTTTGAACCACCAGCCTTCTGGTTAGCAGCCAAATGCCTTAGGCACTATGCTACCAGAGCTCCTTCACATAACAGAGTAGACAACAAATGCCAAATAACTATGAACAATATACAAAAAAACCATGGCCACCAAGTCAATTCTGACTCATAGTCCCTATAGGACAGAGTAGACCTGTTCCACAGAGTTTCCCCAAAGCTATAAATCAGAAGCAGACTGCCACATCTTTCTCCCATGAAGCAGCTGGTGGGTTTGAACTGCCAACCTTTTGGTTAGCAGCCAATGCTTTAACCACTATGCCACCAGAGCTCCTAATGCTGTAAGCAGAGGTTTTGTGGAGGAGAGGCTTGTAGCCTAAGCCCTAACATGTATATTGCTGCCAACACTTATCTCTTCCCTGCATACCATGATGAAAATCACTGCCTACGCTGTTTTCTTCTGTCTCAGTTCAGACCCATGGAAAGAAAACTCTCAGCTGTAGTCTCAGTAAACAGATATCTTCTTTTATCACAATGAAATTTTTACACATCTACACCCCCCCTTAAAATGTTCTGCCATGATCATGCTTTTAATTCCTTTAAGACAGTGCACATATAGAAATAAAATCTTAAGCTTCAGAGACTTGGGTGTGAATTCCAACCCCTCCAAATGCTGGTTATGAGGACTGGTAAAAGGTACCTGTCCTCAGAGACTATTTTTAGTATATAATAACAGCCAGTCCTCGGAAGGAAGATGGGGTGATCTACTTCCGTAGTGATACAGCCTCAGAAACCCAAGGAGGGCTCGCTATGAGTAGAAATTGACTCAACAACAGTGAGTTAGTCAGTTAGTCATCCCTTATTATATGCTTGGAGTCCTTGGCTAGTGCAATTATTTAACACATTCTTTTACTAACAGAAAGGTTAGAGGTTCAAGTCCATCCAGAGGTACCTTGGAAAAAGGGCTAGTGTTCAACTTCAGAAAATCAGCCACTGAAAACCTTATGGAGTACAATTCTACTCTGACACACACGGAGTCACCATGAGTCAGAATCAACTCAACAGGAACTACAATGCCATTGGACACTTCCCATGACACAGGTACTCTACTAAATGGTTTCTGTGCATCAATTCATTTTAAAACAAATAAAAATTGGTTCATTAACACCTATCCCAAAAGTTTGTCACAAGCATTAATTTTAGGAACATGTATAAAGCACTTGTAAGTACCTGGAATGCAGTAGATGCCTAATAAAAACAACTCATTGTAGTAGTCACCACTTACTGGGTTATTGTGGTAGTTATGTTTGTGTGTCAACTTGGCTGGGCCTGGTAGAGTGGCTGGGCAGCTAGTGGTAGTATTCCCCATGGTGAGACTGGCAATCAACTCCATGGTGGGATCTACCACAAGCAGCTGACTAGCTGCTTTGGGTATGTGGTCTGCTTCTTGTATATAAGGAGCAGCCTTGGGAATGGTCTCCAGCCTTGGGAATGGTCTCTAGCCTTTGGCACGCTAGGACCCTGCATGTGGACGTGTCATTGCTCAGCAGCCTTCCATGGGACTTACACTGGACTTAAGTTAATGGCCTGCCATGTGGTTTGGTAACATTGGGACTGTGCCTTTTGACTTGTCAACCTTGGGGCTTCTCAGCCTCAGCAGCCTGCAATGTCTGAGTGAAGAAAAGCCTCTAGCTCCAGTGGGCCAGGAGCAGGAGGCAGAACTGGACCCCAAGGTTGAGGGGCTTTCACCCAGCCCCTAGAGCCCAGCACTTTGAACTTGGACTTAAAGCCTCCAAATTGTAAGAGTAAACTCCTGTTTCTTTAAGCCATCCCATTTGTAGTATATTCTTGTCAGAGCAGCACTAGGTAACCAGAACAGTTATTTAGTGGAAACCAAGGCATTAGTGTCACAATTTTTTTTCATGCTCTCAAAACAACCCTAAGAACTACATACAGTATTAACCACATTTTACCTATGAAGAAACTTGGACTTGGGAGAAGACAGGTAATGGGTTTAAAGTCACAGAGTTAATAGTGCTCTCAGGCAGGGAGACTAACTTAGTACACAATGACTCTGCTTCTTTTCTCCTTTATTGCAATGCTGGACTGGTTGCAGCAGAGTTGGGAGACAGAGAATGAAGGGTAATAGAAAGATAAGCCCTGACCTAAATTCACTTGTCTTCTGGCATCGGGTTATAGCCTAAGGTGGACTGCCTGGGCCAAACAAGTGTAAGCAAATCCCCAAATAAGTCAAGAGGTCTGTTTTTAAGAAGTGAACCTAAAGTTGTTATACATTTTATTGCTTTGAAAAATAAACCCATTTCATACGCTGAGTGTGCCCTCTTGTGCATCCAGAGTTACTAGCAGGAATCTTCTGGGAAGACTGAGAGAAAGCCCAATGTGTTACCTGAATTACTTTGATTCACTACTTGAGCATCTTATTTTTTTTTAATTTTGCAAAATTGCCTGATTTCTCCCAAAGAACTGTAAACTATGACAGAGAGGATAGGAAATATGCCCAAATTTTGGTGACACTCCTCAGCACAATGCTTCACAATTTTCCATAAATATTCATGAAAATTAAAACACAGAACACGCCATGTGCATGAGTACAGCTGAAAACTATTAGGTTAATGGAACTCATTTACCCCTGTAATAATTACAATGCATGGTCGTAGCAACATACAGAAAAAGAAAGACGTTCAGGAGTGCTTGATGAGACAGGTAATCAGTAAATAATAATCACGATTTTTATTATTAACTCCATTATATGGATGAAAAAATTGAGGTTCAATGGTTAAGCAATTGGTAGAACCAGATTTCAAATCCAGGTGTCAGCTCCTTTGCCTCCTATCACAAAGCCATAGGAATGAAGTTGCTAACATACTCCTGTGGGTTTTTTTCATTTTTAAACAAATTCTTGTCTAAACATTCTTTGTATTCTTGTAACATTTGAGTAAGCCAACTAATCTTTCCGGATCTTTGTTTCTTTGCTTATAAAACAGTGTACAGGATTGCATGAGCTTAAGCTGCTTTCTATTCTAATATCCTTTGGTGCTTTCATAAGATTAGATTAATTGATTGAGTCAGATTGTGAAGGGTCTGGGATACCAAGATAAATTTTGGATTTAATGTTATAGACAACATGGAACCATGGCACATCTTTATCCCACAAAAAACAGGAAATAAATGAATTTCCCAGTGTCTAGTTGGACTTCTCTGATAATCAAGGGTGTGGAGGAGTTTTATCAGAGACCCACATTCTGTTATTTCTCGGGGAGCCTTGAAATCACCTTTTCCAATAGTCTCTAACCAACCTGAGTGGAGTAGAACACGTGGCCCTTGATCAGAGGTCAGAGATCCTATATTGCAATCACTGCTGGAACCTCAGGTAAAACACAAAAGGAAGCAAAACTTGGAAGGATGCAGCCCACTCATAAGCAGTCCACCATTAGATCTGGAGGCACAGTTTGTACTCATTTACTAACCTAAAAGTTGGGGGTTCAAACCCACCTAGTGGTACCCTAGAAGAAAGGCCTGGGAATCTGCTTCTGGTAAGATTACAGTTTAGAAAAATCCCATGCAGCAGTTCTAGTCTGTAACACATGGGTTGCCATGACTTGATAGCAAGAGGTTTGGTTGGTTTTTAATTTTTTTCCATTCTTTAGAGTCCATTCTCAACAGATAATGACATGCTGTAGTTGAATAACTTGCATTACCCTTGATTTTATCACATCCATTTCTGAATCATTGAAACTGACATCAGTGAGGCCAAGAAGGCAGTATTTGCTCAAAAACAAAGTTCAGAAGGCAGGAAATGGAAACAAGGAACCTAGGAAAGTAATGGGAAAAGTGCTGCTACTTTGACAGGATTACAACTAATATCATGAAACAAAATGTGTATAACTTGTTGAATGGGAAACTAATTTGCTCTGTAAATTTTCATCTTTCATCCAAATCACAATAAAATGTTCAAAAAAAAAGAATGCCATCAAAGTTAAAATACTGAGAAAACCAGAAATATACTAATATACTTACGGAAGCTCAGCGAGACTTTCGAATCCTCCCAAGCTCTCAGCCAGAGTAAATATCTACAGTGAACAAAACATTAATTTACATCTTCTAGTAAGGTAAAAATACTAAAGTCTAAAAACAAATATTTTATATAAAATGGCCCTGGGACGGGGGTGGGGAATAGTAGTAATTAGAATTATGACTGCAAATTAGGCAAGAAACTCAAAACAAAAATGAGGGTAAAATGCATAATAATGATTTCACCAGTAGACATATTATGTGCAAAGTTTTAAAATATTAAAAGTTGATCCAGTCTTAAAAACTAGCAAGCTGCCATCTAGATGCAACGATGGGTCTCTCCTCATCCAGAGCAAAGAAGAATGAAGAAAAACAAAATTCATGGAAACAATTAGTCCTAGCAACTGGTACACCATCGGATCTGCAGCCTATGAGACTATGAGACCAGAAGAACTAGATGGTGCCTGGCTACCACTGTCATCCACTTGGAAGGGGATCTATCTGGGAGATCTTTGATAGAGAGGGAGAACAATGTGGTACAAAACACAAAATCATTTGGAGGAAAAAAAAGTGGGGGGGACCAGGTTTGCTCGTCCGATAGAGCCTAGTGGATCCACTGAGACTATGGCCCCTGGCTTCCCTTCAGGTCTGGAATTGAACCCACACCTGTGGTTTCCAGCCAAACAAAAGACAGGCATATGAGTTGAACATTTACCTCAAGTAGATACTCTCCTTGGAGAGAACAATCATGGGAGAAAGAAGGGCTGCTTATGCACAGGGAGACAGCTCAGGGGGCGGGAGTCCATGGAGGGATGGACACAGGGAACAGGTAACTATGGGGAGGAAGTGGGAAGGGAGCTGTTGCATTGTGGTAAACTGTAGTCAATGTCATGGGACAAAGTATGGAAAGTGAATTTGCTCTGTAAATCTTCACCCAAATCACAATAAAAATAAAATAAAATAAAAAGTTGATCCAAGTGACTTTCCTATACCTTCCGGATTTGGCCCTATTCTAATACATAATATAAGCTCTAAAAGCCCAGAATGTTGCATTTGAGACCAGGACCTGAGGATACCTTTTAAATAAAAATCTCTAAATACCTACAAAATTATATATACTTACTTGTTAATATGTAAAGCCTACTAAGTTAACACATCAACTTAACCCTTTAGGGGAGTAGAAATAACACACATAGTTCTTGTATTTAGTGTTATAGCACCATAGAAATTTACAAATGTTTTTACAGTATCTCCCACAATTATATTTAATTAGGTATCTATTGCCATCTTCCTGACTTTAGAAGTGGACAAATTGGAGACATTGGGGCAGCTTTACTGACCTAGCAGCATTCTATTTACTCTATTCATTCACTTACAGACTTGGACTCATGGCCACTCCCTGTGTTATCAGAATAGAACTGTGTTCAATGGGCTTTTCAGTGACTGATTTTTCAGAAGTACCTTCCCAGGCTTTTCTCCTGAGGTGCCTCCAGCTGGACTCAAACCACCAACCTTTCAGATAGCAGCTGAGTGCATTAACCATCTGCACCACCTAGGGTTAGATCTGTAGTTTTTAAACCTGAAAGTCTATTGTAGGGGTTCAAGGTAAACCTAGTTTAGGGAGTTACATAGGCCTCTCACCCAGGGCCTTTGAGACCTTCCTGTCTTTATGCAAATTAGAATAAAGCTCCCTTTTTCCAACCCTAAACAGATACAGCCTGGAGGCAGAGGGTTTAGAAAGCCATTACTCCACTGGATTTCAGAACAATTTTGTGCAGTGCACTAATCACATAACACTTTGAGGTTTCACAAAATATTTCATTGGTAAAAAGGATTCATTTTTAAATAAATGTGAAAAACAATGCATTTGAATATGCCATGTCTCACAAACTGATCGTACGCAGTGTGTAGACAATTAAGCAAATGAACACATTCAGATGTCTGCTATTGTGTCATTATTGTTTTGTGCCCCATTTCCCAACATGATGAATTTCATGATAAAAAGGTTTATTAGTGCAACCTGCACATATACAAACATTAATCTGGGTAGAATGGGTGAGAGAATGAACTGCTATAAGAAAGTCTTAGGAGGTCCCTGAGTGGTGCAAGAGGTTTGTGTTCAATTGCTAACTTAAAAGTTGGTGGTTTGAATGCACACAATAGCGCTGTGGAAGAAAGGCCTGGCAGACAGCTTCCATTAAATTGTAGACAAGAAAGCCCCAAGGAGGTGTTCTACCCTGTATAGAGTTGCCATGGGATTAAATTGACTCAACAGCAACAGGTTTGCTTTGGTCCAAAGAAAGTCTTACTTCTGCAATTTTAAAACTTATTTTGAAAGTTTACCTTTAAACTCTTGAGGAAAGTCTCGGCATGCTGAAGAGAGCCCTTAATATAGAAGGAGATCATCCCTGGGCACCCTGTGCACTGACGCTTCGCCAACTCATGCTGTGGGTGAGAGGGTAGTCCTGTAGCCAAGGAATAATAAAAGTCTTACTTCAGCATCAAGCATATACTTTCAGGGGAAAAAAATGTCACTGTTCACTTAAGTAAACTGCAAATAAGCCTCAAAATGAGGACTACTCCTCACGTATCAACAACTTCACTATCAGACATTTCACATTTACAATAGCAAAAACTCTGTGGTAGTTAAGGTCATGTGTCAACTTGGCTGGGCCTGGTTTTGAGTGACTGGGCTGCTGGATGTAGTTATTCCTCATGATGACACTGGTAATCACCTCCATGGTGGAATCTACTGGAGCAGTAATAGCTGCCTTGGGGATGTGGTTTGTTTCCAGTATATGGGAAGACAGTTTTGAGAAAGGTCTCTGAGGTTTCTGACACCCTTGGACCCTGCATGTAACAGAGTCTTTATTCAGCAGCCTGCCATGCTGACTGCCAGTCTTGGGAACTGTTTCTAAACTTGAACTAGTGGCCTGCCTTGTTGCTTAATAATTTTGGCACTGTGCCATTTTATTTGTTACTCTTGGATTTGTCAGTCTCAGCTCTCAGCAGCTGGCTGAGTTAAGAGAAGCTTCCGGCTCCAGTGGGCCAGGAGCAAGAGGCAGAGCTGAAGCCCAAGGTTGAGGGGCCTTCACCGAGCCCCAAGGACTGACACTTTGCCAAAGGGGCAGGGAGGCCACATCTTCTGACTTCCTCTAACCCTGTAAGAGGAAGACAGAATCACCACCAGCAGCCCAAGGCCTATCCCTGTGAGGCCAGACACGATGCCTCCCTCCAGACCTTTCACCAACCCTTAAACCAACCTTTCGTCCTTCAGCACCCACTACCTGCCTGCTGGGTTCAATAATTCACTGCAGTGGCCACACAGAACTCACAGATTATGGGGTTTATTAGGGAAGCACCAGGCTACAATTCAAGTTTAGGAACACATTCAGTCTCTCAGCCAACAGTTTCTCTCAGTCTCTCTCCCAACAGCGCGTGTCTCTCAATCTCTCTCCCAGCACCACGTGTCTCTCCGTCTCTCTCCCAGCAGCATGTTTTCTCTCCGGAGCACATTTCTCTCAGCAGCAAGACTTTCTCAGCCAGCAGTCAGAGAGACTTCTTCTGCCTCTGTTGTTGTTGTTGTTACGTGCCGTTGAGTCGGCCCCGACTCATAGCGACCCCTCTTTGGGTTTCCGAGGCAGTATCACTACGGAAGTAGGATTGCCCGACCTTCCTTCCGAGGAGTGGCTGGTGGGTTTGAACCGCCAGCCGTCTGGTTAGCAGGCAAGTGTCTTAGCCACTATGCTACCAGAGCTCCCCTTCTGCCTCTAGGAGCCTCCTTTTGAGCCTGGCAGAGTGGCCAAACTAACCAATCATAAAGTCAGAATTCCAAGCACCTGAGAGAGAATGAACTTCCTAGACATTGCTTTGTGCCACTCTCAACAAAAATACCCCAGGTGGATAACTAATAATCAGGAGCTCCTCAGTTGCTCACAGCAAATTCTACCATGGAGTTTACAAAGACTTAGGGCTAGAAAAGCCATACCATGTAATTTACTACACCGCACACTTTGAACTTGGACTTCTAGCCCCCTACATTGTAAGAGAATAAATCCGTTTATGTTAAACCCATCCATTTGTGGTATTTTCTGTTACAGCAGAAATAGAGAACCAAAACATCTACTATCCAACTATTTTGCACATTTACAACATATGGCTGGCAGTAATGAACACCAAGTTGTGAAGCGAGAGCAACACTGGCTGGGATAGTTAAGGTTATGTGTCAATTTGGCTGCCCATGATTCTTGGAGGTTTGGCAGTTACATAATAATGTAATTTTGCAGCTATATAATGGTATAGTCTTCCTCCATTTTGTGATTTGATATGTTTATCCTTCATTTTTGCATAACTCTGATTGTCAATAATGACCTGGTCTTTGGAACTTAACCATGTTGATAAGAAGTGGGTGTACTCACATTTGACTACTTGTTCTGGCCCCTAGCTATTTCTCTAGCTTCGTGTTGACTCATCTTTTCTACCCTCAGCCTGCTCTAGCCACACAGCTATCTTTCTACCAATGGCACCACACTTTCTTTCATTCTTAGGACTCTGCACATGAACATTCCTTTTAACCTACAATACTTTCTGCCCTGGCCACGCTCCTTGTAAATTTAGTTTATAATTATGTCCTTCTGTAATTTCTTGCTTTTCTAATATACTGGACTAGCTCCATAGGGAGAAATCTGTTTATTATCATGCTAATAACTAGACCCCAGTTCCTAATACAAGCCTATTTCATTGTTGATATGTAATAAACATTTGTTGACTCAATCTGAAATGCCTCACGAATACCCTTCTACCAAACACTCCCCATTCTGTGGGGTCCAGCTCAAACTAGTTTTTCTTTCCTCCATTCAAACAACTCTTCACATTGAGTGTGTATACCAAAAACCAAACTGACTGCTATCAAGTTTATTCCACTTCATAGTGACCATATAGGACAGAGAAGTTGATTCCAATTCATGGTGACTACAAAGGACAGAGCAGAACTGCCCTCATAGGGTTTCCAAGGCTGTAAATCTTCACAGAACCAGACTGCTTCATCTTTCTCCCAAATCGCTCATCTTTTAGTTAGCAGACAAATGCCTTAGCCACTGTGCCACCAGAGCTCCTTTAGAGCACATATGATGTTAGGTGCCACTGAGTCAGCTCTGACTCATAGCAACCCTATGTATAACAGAACTAAACATTGCCCGGTCCTGTGCCAGCCTCACAATACTTGCTATACCTGAGCCCATTGATGTAGCCAGAGCACATATAGTACATTTAATATCCTATGTGTTTCTACCTTGGCTTATCTAGGTTCCTTGAGGGTAGGAACCAGTCTTAATTCTCCTATACAACCAAGAGCACATGGCTAAATACCCCAACAGAATCTAAAATAGTTACTTACTTAGGTATTTAGAATTGTTGTTGTTGTTGTTGTTTGCCGTCGAGTCGGCCCCGACTCATAGCGACCCCTCCTTGGGTTTCCAAGGCAGTATCACTACGGAAGTAGGATTGCCCAACCTTCCTTCCGAGGAGTGGCTGGTGGGTTTGAACCGCCAGCCTTCTGGTTAGCAGTCAAGTGCCTTAGGCACTATGCTACCAGAGCTCCTATTTAGAATACCACAGTTTAAAAGGCTGAAGAAATAAATTCAAAGAGTCATATGTAAGCTCTGGTAGCATAGTGCCTAAGGCACTTGACTGCTAACCAGAAGGCTGGCGATTCAAACCCACCAGCCACTCCTCTGAAGGAAGGTTGGGCAATCTACTTCCATAGTGATACCGCCTCAGAAACCCAAGGAGGGGTCACTATGAGTCAGGTCTGACTCAACGGCACATAACAACAACATGTAAATCTGCTAATTATTTCCTCATATGCATTTCTAGAAGCTGGGGGAAGTGAAGGATTCTAAAAAGAATTCTCTTCAGGAGAATTTACTGAGTACCTATCAAGTCTCAATTTGGGATAAACCTTTCTGAGATAAAAGTTACAGCTAACTCAAAATAACAGATTGACAAGATCATTACAAGCAAATCAACTGGAAAGTACAATCAATGATGCAGTCTGGGAACAGATGCAAATATATACAAGAATATGGTCTGTAACCACAACCACCCCCCCAAAAAGAATGGCTTCCCGACTCCATCTTGTCTGGTCCAGCCTGTAAGAACTACAAGCCATTTCCCCTATCTCCCCAGTCACATATTCCCCCTGCTCCCTCCTGTCATGTATTAACCACCTTCCCTGTAATGTATTAGCCCACCCTTAGAATAGTTTCAAGCCATAAAGCTTGTTAATGGCAGTGTCTTATCAGAGCGCTACCAAGTCTGAAACCAGTCACATAGCCCTCCATTCCGAGTCATGTAGCCCCCATCCTCAATTTCTCAAACTCAGGTATAAGTATCACTGCAAAGTGGAAGACAGTTAGTGGTCATCTTGGATCCATTCCAGCCTGCCAGCACTAGATGCTGAATTGCTAGCAACATTTGTAAGCCTGCTGTCTCTGCCTTTATAATCCTCTCTCCCTATTATTTTGTTTCTCTTCTGAATAAACATTCATGTCTCTGACTATGCCTCCTGAAAAGTTTTTTGGACTCTTGCTACCTACTCAGGAGGAAGCTGGGAAAATTCCTGTAACAACAAGCTTTAGATTAGCTTACTAACATCCAAGCATCCACTAGACAATAGGCAACTCAAGGCCTGAGACCATGTCTATCTTCTTCATTACTCAGCTCACCATAGTGCCTGACACAGCAGTGTTTGATAATAAATGAGCAACAGGAAATTATATGAAAAGCACCCAAATTTCAGATAAATGCTATGTAAATAGGATGTTTAGAATAATCCTTAAAATTCTAGTCAAAGGCATGTCTGCTTAGAAATCAGATTAACATACCAGGATAAAGAACCTTTTCTACCCTGGGATTAGATTCCAGAAACTGAGCAACTGCCATTCCATTTTCAAAATGCTTATCCATTCGGACTTGAAGAGTCTTTAGACCTCGATTGCAAAGGTAACAGTCAAGAGGTGATGGAACCGCTCCAAGAGCTGCAAAACAAACACATCCTAGATTAGTTTTAGGGAGAAGGTAACCAGAAAAATGTGACCCCTCTTTCATTATTATGAGTTTGATTTTCAGAAGGAATAATTAATGTATCAAATCAGAAGCATAAGAATGAAGCATAAAACACACTTAGAGAAACATGCTTTAAAATGGGAGAAGGGACGAATGTACCAAAATGAAGTACAACATTCATAAGACACTAAATACAAGCACTTGCATTCTACTTCCAAAAAATCAGTCACTGAAAACTATGGTGCAAAGTTCTACCCTGACACACATAGGGTTGGTTGCCTTAAGTCAGAATAAACTTGATGAGCAACTGCTTTTTTGTTTTTGTTTTTAATATAAACATAAATATAGGGTCTTTTCAAATATGACATCAATAGTCGCTTCACATATTCTATAATTTAATGAAATAGCGTAGTACACATGGATCTACCTTGCATTTCTTTGAAAAAGTGTTACAACATAAAGAGAAAAACAGCCATTCGGTTCCTATTGTTACTAAATGTTCTTCCCAACATTCTATTCAGGCATATGTACTTCTTCCTACTTTTTATACAGAAAACAACATACATCAACTAAGAAATTTTAGTTTCTCTCTTCAGTGTCCTTTTTTGTTACTTTAATATCTATTTCCTAGAAGAGTATTTTCATTTTTAATTATGTCCTTATCTGACCTATCTCTCAATTTCAAATTTCTTCAAATAAACCCATACCCTTACTTGAGAAAAGTCCACCAATATAAACAGGAAATAGTATTTAGACATTACATTAGAAGTGTAAATATCAACGCTATTTGTGAGCATAGGGGGAATCTGAGTTTTTAATACTTACAGTTTTGCAAGAAACGGAGCCTGTTATGCAGATTCTCAGAATTAACAGACACTAAGCCCATTACAACATCACTGTGGCCTGAAACAAAACAATCAAAAAAGTTAAGTTAAAAATAGTTTGTTTATACTTAGTTTTATTATTTTTTCAAAAAAGAGCTTTTCCTTAAAAGTTCTCAGAGCAAAAATCCTATAAAATAAAGCTAATTCAATTCAATAATAGCAAAAGCAATACATTAAACAAAATAAAAATCATATAAATCATATAAATGCTTCTTTTTAAGTCATCATCCAGTTAAAAATATAACCTTTTATATTAAATTTTCATCTTCTTATAAAAAATGAGAATGGTTTTCTCTAAGTGAAGTACTATATTTAATCTGAATATTTTTCTTTCCACGAGGCACAGAGAAAATCTGAATAATAATAGATGAATAAACCAAAAAAACAAACTCACTGCCACTGAGTCGATTCTAACTCATAGGGACCCCCATTGGGTTTCCAAGGCTGTAAATCTTTACAGAAGCAGACTGCCTCATCTTTCTCCCTTGGAGCAGCTGGTGGGTTTGAACAACTGCCCTTCTGCTTAGCAGCCAAATGCCTTAACCACTCCACCACCAGAGCTCCTTAATAATAGACGAAAAAGGACCAAAATGTCAAGCCCTGTATTATTTTTCATCTACCCATGGAAAAGAATGTTCAAAGTGTAGACTGTGTCTATCTTACCATTCATGTATTTTGTTGCTGAATACATGCAAATATCAGCTCCCAGAGACAAAGGCCGCTGAAAGAGATGAGATATTTTATTTTAAATGAAAAGCCATTTGAAAACATGCTTTCAAAATTTTTTATTATTAGTATTTCATATTAGAAATTCTCATTCCAATCAGTACTATGTTTTCAAAACTAAATACACCTTAAAAATTTCTTAAAATATTATCTTCCTCTTTTCTCCCCCCTAACAAATATAAATATGGAATATTGGATTCAATATTCAATAGGCAGACACAGTATATGGAAAGAGCAGACAGACCCAGGTCAACAAGTCTCCTGAACTTGTTTACATAGAGTCCCTAAGTTTACTACCTGCAGCAAACACGTTGGTATCTTATGACCCATTGAGCACACAGTTTATGTAAACACTATTATATCACTACGGAAGTAGGATTGACCAACCTTCCTTCTGAGGAGTGTTGGGCAATCCTACTTCCGTAGTGATACTGCCTCGGAAACCCAAGGAGGGGTCGCTATGAGTCAGGTTTGACTCGACGGCACATAACAACAACAACAATTATGTCAGTTAGATTAAAACTAATTTTAGTCATTTAAACCAACAATATATGCTGTGATTATTCACACTTGGTTTGCCAAGATCTTGACTTTTAACTATTCTTTTACTATATAACTTTGACAAGTGTAAAGTCAGTTACAAAGAAATTCATTTGGCTTGTTTACCCAATTTTTCTGCTTCTTAAAATGTCTTTGTTTACCTCAAATAATCAACTTATTCATTAAACAATTTATCATCGACATCTTTCCTTTTACATCATCTTTAAAATAGTATTATTGTGTGTGTGTGTATAATTGTGTGTGTGTTTGGAAGCATTTGGAAACACATACACTAGAAGAGTCTTTGGAAGGTATTAGTGTAAGGTGGCTATACAATCTTTTCATTTAGGGGGTTTAAAAACAGGATGTTTTAAGTTAGGTATTGCCCAAAGTGTTCTCTACATATGTGTTTGCTCATCTCTGGGGTCAAACTAGATGACATCTGAAACCTTTTCTGGCTTCAACATTCTTCACATTCCATGGCCAAAACGGAAGGGGGTGGGGCTCGACAGCAATCATCTCTTCATCTCTGTATGTGCCAAGAACCATGCTAAATACTTTATGCAACTCATTTGAGTACTGCACAAAATACTTCCCTCTGTACTTCTTTTATGACCCTCATTGTACAGGTGAGAAAAAAAAGAGACTGAGAGAAATGAAATGATCATGTAAATGAAAAACCTGGTAGAATGAGAATTCCACCTAGACTGCCTGACCTTGAGGTACTCCTATGAAACTTTGCACTGGTCTGCCCATTTTGTCTTTTGTGAGACTCACAGAAGGTTTCAAAGGCAAAGGGCAGGGATAGAAGAGAAAGCATTGTTTCCATGAGGGTAAGACAAAGAGAGGACCTTTTCAGGAAAATAGATGCTTTGAGAAACCAATATACATGGTAAACAAGTGGTTACTAAGGGATGGTATGGTTTTGATTAATTCAGCTGGAATGACTCCAAACTGAAATGAAGTTAAGTTCTGATCCCTGGCATAAGGAATACGATGTGGGTTTCAGAAAGGCAGAAAAACCTGGACCTATTTTAGGGATGGTAACAGGAGAAAGAGGGCCAGGCCCAATGAGTAACCTGGGCAGGCCCAGGCTAAAAAATGCCTATGTTCTCTTTGGGAGTCCACAGGACTCACTGTGACTCAGCTAAAGAGAGTTTTTGATATACGAGCTGACCTAACATAAACAGCAGACAGGTTAGGGAGCTGCAATAAAGAATCCAAGAGTGAAAATCACCTGGAACAAACACATGATGCCAGGGGATTTTCACTTGGAAACAGACTGCATTACCATCTAAGAAGCAGTAAAAGATACATCGTAAGCCACAGGTAGATGGTTGGTGAAGCTTCTGAATACAATGTAGTTAGGAACTATGTTTCAGGAAAGGAAAATAAAATATGGTAGTGCCTTCTGAAGAAATGGAGGAAGGTGAAGAACAAGATTACCCCAACTGACCATGGAGTCTTCCAGTCACAGGGGGGCAGAAGCTTGGGCCAATTTCAGGACCCATACCAGAAGGGGGAAATGTAAACAATTGTGCTTGTAAACATCTGCCTAATTGAAGAACCGGACATGAGGTAGGGCTTCAGGAAGTCTGAAGAATGAAGATGAACTACAGGAAGGGTATTAGGAGTGACTATAAGGTACAGGCAGGAAGAAAAGAACTGGGAGAAGGTAAATTCTACCAAGAAAAGGAAACAGCTAGGTCATCCAGAAGAGCGGGAAAAAAAACAAGCAGGAAAAGGCAGACAACAGGTCAACCACAGACAGATCCCAAAACCACCTACCAAAAGGAGAAAAACAGGAAGGAGGTGGAATCAGGGGAAAAGGAAAGGAATGGAAGGTACATAGGAGGCTCAGGGCAGTGTATGTAGAAGGGAAAAACTATACACTGTGAAACCTGTGATGGGCAGAACTCGTTGGGACTGCTGTGTTTTCTGGGCCTTGCAAGTTTTCTGCCTTCGGCAGGGTACAGTCCTACTTCTTTTCCATTGCTCGTTTTAGTGAAAAATATTTGAGTTTTCCTTCTCTGAAATGTTTCAGCTTTATACAGATTCAGCTTTTGTAGATTTTACTGTATATACAGCTACAATATGAAAAATTATGGGAATTCAAAATACAAATAAGACAAAGATGCACAGGGCTGTGTATAGCCTACGGGGCACTGAGGGAAAAGAAGGGAAGAGAAAAGGAGAAATAATATATGTGACATATACTGAGATGTCATTGGGTATAACTTTTCTTTTCTTTTTATTTGTAAGAAGTTTAGCCAGGTTAAAAAATATATACAAGCATAAGTAGTTAAGATGTGACTAAAAAACAATATGACTGATTTCAAACAATACCAAAACTAAAAACCAAACCCACTGCCATCAAGTTGGATCCGACTCACAGCGACCCCTCCTTGGGTTTCCGAGGCAGTATCACTATGGAAGTAGATTGCCCCATCTTCCTTCTGAGAAGTGGCTGATGGGTTCGAACTGCCAGCCTTCTGGTTAGCAGTCAAATGCTTTAGGCACTATGCCAGCAGAGCTCCCTCAAACAATACATAAGCATCCAAATCCCCACTATAGGTAAGGCATCAGCAGATGCAATGACATAATAATTCTTCAGAGACTACATATCCTAAGAGAACTTGAAAGCTTTAATTGAGAGAAGATTTGAAAAACATATAGCACCACACAAAATATTAACATTTGACTAAAGAGATATTAACTAATAGTAGAAAAGATCCCAACTTAATTCTTTGTGTCATCGACAATTATGATTACATTCATGACTTGGATAATGCTTTTAACGTAAATGAGTCCTTCCTTTCCTAACTACAAGTATCTATGTAGTCTACCAATCATGACAAAACATATACATATATATTTTCACTTACTTGGAAATATGCTGACATAAAAGTATTATCCACGACCAAGATAATGTCTCCATGTTTATGGACAATATGTGCACAAGCTTCAATGTCAATCATCTTCAAGATAGGGTTTGTAGGAGTTTCAAGCCAAACAAGCTAAAAATAATTCAATACATAACAATAATTTATACAAATACACATCTCAAACATATATCCCATATATTTTAATAATTTGGGGGCTACATTATAAAATGAAAATAAGGATTTTGAAGATGTAAGGCTTAAATCTGAATTCTGGCCTCTTCCACAAATTTCTGAAAGGCCATAGCTAAGTAATTTACCCTCTCTATTCCTCAAATTCTTCATCTGCAAATAGCATTGATAATATTTACCTCATATAGTTATCATAAAGATAAAATGAAATAATATACATATAAGCAAAAAAATGCTAAAGTTAATTATTGTAATTCTATTCCGTAACAAACAGGATGTGTATTACAGAGATATGTTTCAGGATTTGGAATTTTGTTCTCAAAGATAAACATCACAGACTGTATAAGTATACATCCCAGAGCTTTCATTAAATAGAATTAACCCTATGATGACAAAAATATCCTTGATATTAATTTAAATAACTCTGACATACGATGTTGTGTGCTGTCGAGTTGATTCCAACTCATAGCAACCCTATATGACAGAGCAACCCTATATGACAGATTTCTTTCCCAGGCTGTTAATCTTTACAGAAGTAGGTCACCAAGTCTTTTCTCTTGCAGAGCCTCTGGTGGGTTTGAGTCAAACTTTTGGTTAGCAGCTCAGTGCCTAACCACTGCTGCACCAGGGCCCATTTGTGATGTATTTGTTGTTGTTGTTGTTGTTGTTGTTAGGTGTCATTGAGTCGGTTCCAACTCATAGCAACCCTATGTACAACAGAACAAAACAGCGCCCAGTCTTGCACTTTCTCATACTCATTGCTCTGTTTAAGCCCATTATTACACCAATTGGGTCAATTCATCTCATTGAGGGTCTTCCTCTTTTTTTGCTGACCCTCTATTTTACCAAGTATGCAGGGACTGGTCCCTCCTGATAACATGTCCAAAGTACATGAGAAGAAGTCTTGTCATCCTCACTTCTAAGGAGCATTCTGGCTGTACTTCTTCCAAGGCAGATATGTTCATTCTTCTGGCAGTCCATGGTTGCAAAAAGGGCAAGGAGGCCACATGTTCTGACCTTCTCTAATCCCACAAGAGGAAGACAGAATCAGTATCAATAGCCCAAGGCCTATTCCTGCAAGGCCAGCCATGCTACTTTCCTCCAGCTCTTTCTCCAACCGTTCCTCCCAAAGCACCACCACCTCTTTCCTGGGTTCGATAATTCGCTGCAGTGGCCACACAGAACTCACAGATTATGGGGTTTATTGGGGAAGCACCAGGCTACAATTCAAGTTCAGGGAAAAAAAAAAAAATGCTCAGTCTTTCTCCCAGCCCACCGTCTCTCAGCCAAGTCTCTCACAGTCTCTCCCGCAGCAGTGCATGTCCCTCAGTGTCTCAGCAATGCATGTCTCTTGCGTCCCTTTCCCAGCAGCATGTGTCTCTTTCAGGAGCACGTGTCTCTTTCAGCAGCATGTCTTTCTCAACCAGCAGTCAGAGAGAGTTCTGCCTCTAGGAGGCCTCCTTTTGAGTTTGGCAGAGTGGCCAAACCAACCGATCATAACAACAGAATTCTAAGCACCTGAGAGTGAACCTCCCATAACATTGCGTTGTGCCACACCCAACAGAAATAATCCAGGTGGATAACATTTACAATCAGGAGCTCCTCAGTTGCCCATTCCACCACCGAGTTTACAATGACTTATGGGTAGAAAAGCCATACTGAGTAATTTACTGCAATGGTATATTCAATATTCTTCACCAATACCATAAATGAAAGGCTTCAATTCTTCTTCAGTCTTCTCTATTGATTGTTCAACTTTCATGTGCAGGAGGAAATTGAAAATACCAAGGCTTGGGTCAGGCACACCTGAGTCCTCAAAGTAACATCTTTGACCTTTAATATTTTAAGAGATCTTTTGCAGCATATTTGCCCAGTGTAATACATCCTTTGACTTCTTGACTGCTGCTTCCATGAGGGTTTATTGTGGATCCAAGTGAAATGAAATCCTTGACAATTTCAATCTTTTCTATGATTATCATGATGTTGGCTTATTGGTCCAATTGTGAGGAATTTTTGTTTTCTTTATATTTTAGTGTAATCCATACTGAAGGTATAGTCTTTGATCTTCATTAGTAAGTGCTTCAAGTCCTCCTCACTTTTAGCAAGCAAGGTTGTATCATATGCATATTGCAGGTTCTCATAAGTCTTCCTCCAAATTTAATGCTGTGTTCTTCATACAGTCCAGCTTTTTGGATTATTTACTCAGCACACAGATTGAATCAGTAGAATACACCCTAAAGTTTTCATTAAAGAGAATATCCCTAAGATGACAAAAATATCCTTGGTATTAACTTAAATAATTCTGATGTATTGTTGTTGTGTGCTGTCAGGTTGATTCTGACTCAGTAATCCTATGTGGCAGAGTAGAACTATCCTATGTTGTTGTTGTTATGTGCTGTTGAGTTGGACCCGACTCATAGTGACCCCTCCTTGGGTTTCCGAGGCAGTATCACTACAGAAGTAGATTGCCCCATCTTCCTTCTGAGGAGTGGCTGGTGGGTTTGAACCACCAGCCTTCTGGTTAGCAGTCAAGTGCCTTAGGTACTATGCTACCAGAGCTCCCGAACTATCCTATAGGGTTTCCTAAAGGATACATCCCTGACACACACCTTTCCTGATTTTAAACCAAAAAATATCCCCTTTTTCTGTTCGAACAACTGCCTCTTGGTCTATAAGTATGATGCAGTGTCCTGGGATTCCCATATTTCCCAATGTCATCCATAACTTGTTGTGATATACACAGTTGAATGCCATTGCATAGTCAATAAAATACAGATAAACATCTTTCTGTTATTCTCTGTTTTCAGCCAAGATGTAGTGATATTAGCAATGATATCCTTTCTTCCATGTCCTTTTTGGAATCTGACTTGAATTTCTTGCACTTCCCTACTGATGAACTGCTGTAACCATTTTTTAATTATCTTCAGCAAAATTTTATGTGCTACACACTATAAAACAATGTACCTGGGACTTGAGGAAGAGAAGTTTTACAGTGAAGGAGAGAAGTGAAACACATACAGAAAATATGGCTACAGCTCATTTAAGAAAGGGACTGTACATAGCCAGGACTCAACTCTAATGGCAAAGAATAAAGAAAAGAAGAGAATCCTATTTGTTAAACAAATGCCACTGTATTGAATTACAGTATCTATAACATTATTTTTAAAAAGAACAAAACAAATATTTTTTTCTATTAGCTGCTCTGATGATGCAGTGGTTAAAGCAATTTGGCTGCTAACCAAAAGGCTCATGGTTCAAACCCACCAGCTGCTTCACAGGAGAAAGATGTGGTAGTCTACTTCCATAAAGATTTACAGCCTTGGAAACCCTTTGGGACAATTCTACTCTGTCCTATAGGGTCGCTATGAGTCGGTATAAACTCAATGACAGTAGGTTTTTTTTTTTAATTAGTTGTATAAATGGGCAAAAGATCCCATTTAATACTCTGGTTCTACTCTAGTTTAACTATAGAAAAGTGAAAGCCAAAAAAAAAAAAAAAAGAAAGCTCACTGCCATTGAGTTGAATCCAACTCATAGTGACCCCCACTGGGTTTCCAAGGCTATAAATCTTTATGGAAGCAGATTGCCTCATCTTTCTTCCTCTGAGCAGCTGGTGGGTTAAAACCACTGACCTTCTGGTTAGCAGTCAAATGCCTTAAACATTACACCACCAGAGCTCCTTGTGGAAAAGTAAGGTGGTTAAAATATTGTATATTCTATAAGATCTTGACTTATTTAAAGAACCCATAAAAATTATTCCTGAATGAGAATTTACTAATCCCACTGACAATAAATAAGTAATAAAAACAAAGGAAGTTTTACACAGACTTCTTACAAATTCTACCTCAGATGAGGAGCCAGATATTACAGGAATATTAAATCTAGACAGTAAACGGTTACTATCTAAAATTCTGTTGACAAGGCTGAATATTTACTTTCCTCCCTTAGGCTCAAAGCAACTATTTTATAACTGTCTTTCCCCTCAAGTAACATAAACAAGTGCCTTTCAAAACAAACCTGAATCACCCAAAGCTTGCCCCAGTGTTAACATCCAAAGTAATTCTTTGTACTCAAAAAGATTTTTCACTTTTTTAGCAACCACTGCAACAAAATCTTGAGTGCAATTCAAACATTTTAATCATTAGTAAAATGCTGGAAAGGCTGCTTTACAAAAGACACTGGTCCCTCTTGTACACATTCAGAATTTAAATGAGGTCTCAAGAAAGAATATCACATATGCCTTTCACTGAGACACAAAACACCTTCCGGTGGCATACAAGCTTCCCAGGACAGAGGCCTAAGATTGCTTGTGCCCCATTCTTCTAACTCTGATTTTGCTGAAGCATTCCCTTGAATCCTTAAAATGCCACTGTGCATAGGGTTTAGGGGCTTGGCAAACTTCCTTTTCTGTAACCCCATCTCTGGGAAAACTTCTGGTTACCAATTCTAGCTCAGTAAAGCAGTTAAGAATTGCATCCTCTCTGCTAACAAATGTTTTAACAATTATTATATATCAGGTAGTGTACTAAGCATTTAATATGCATTATCTCATTTAATTTTCACAACCACCTTCCATAAAGCAAGTAAGAGAATACTCATTTTCTAGGTGAAAAAGTAAGACTTTGGTTAAATAATTCACCCAAAATAATATAGTATGATAGACAATTAGGGTTTCAATTCTACTCTGGAATTCAGCTACATAACAATTAGGCTTTATTGCCTAGAAGATGCCAGATCTATCTTAATCTTGTTGATCAATTCCAAAGGCTTTTAAAACAACAATTGTTATTCAGATTTAAATTTTATCCTGTATAACTTAAATTATATCCTGAAATAAATAGAAATTATGAAAACAGAACATTATAGGGAATACAGACAAACATGAAAATTAACTGAATACCTTGGTTTCTGGTGTAATTGCTGCCTCTAGCAATTTGGTTTTGGAACAGTCAACGAAAGAAATTTTTAATCCAAATTCAGATGCCACCTGGCTGAAGTATCTGTTGGTACCTGAGGCAGGAGAGAATCAAATAAAATGGAACACTTTATACTATATTAAGAAATGTTTGTTCCCAACAAGTATAAGCACTTTTTAAATAAGAAATTCTCAATGCTCAAGAAAAACACAACTAAATGCAATTTTACTTTGGTTAACTAGTTTGGTTGTCCTGCATAGTAAAAAATATAAGGCTTGGATTTTAAACTGAAAGTCCAAGAGTTAAATAAAACACACCTGTTATCCACAGCAAATGGCATGGAGCAGAATATGTTTCTCAAAACACAGAATCTCTACTATTCACATTAAGGGGTAAACTCCCTGAAACATTAATGTTCTTATTAACAATTTCACCCTAGTATCCAAATCTAAAATAAATGAACCAATGTCTATAAAATGTTCAAAATAAATTTTTCTTCTGCATAGACTTTGGTAATAGAAAGGAACTGGTTATATTTCATTGTACTTTCTCAATCTCTTTGTTATGCTGCTCTGAAAGCTTTAACAGATAAAATGAGACAATGTAAAACAAATTACTAGATTTTTAAATTGAAAGAAGACAAATCAATTAAATTAGAATGACTTGTTTTATAAACACTGCTTTGGATTTAATTTTTATACATGCAAATTTAAATTTCAATAAAAACTTAATATTGATAATTTAATTTAAAAAGTTAATAATCAAAAATACACTGGACTTTTCATATTATATAGACCAACCCTACTTAATATGAGATTTGATAATAAATATAAGAATTATTAAAATACAAAGCATACATTTTCTTAGAGAGAGAGAAGGATCAATAGAAGAGAGTCTATTCCTCAAAAAACGTACAGATTTCACATTTTGTTCAGAGAGGAGATAATAAAATAACATTCAAGAAGCCACATTTTTATTATCTGGGAAAGTCTGGAGTATGTGTATATATTTACAAAATTCTTTGCTGTTGTGAACATGAAAATCAATCTTGCTTAAAAGTATGTGGAAGCTGTTTTCTCTACTCACTATTCTAAATGCTCTTTAGGATGGAAGTTCTTAACTGTGAAGTCATGATGGGTTTCAAGGTGTCGATCTATGAGGCCCCTGAAATTAAATGCTCAGTGTTGTGTGTAGTCAAGTACATTTTCCAAGAGAAAAGGCTCATAGCTTTCAACAGATTTATAAAATGTTCCCTGAAACAAGGAAGAAAGAAAAAGAAAGAGAAAAGAAATGCAGGTAGGGTTAAATTCTTTAAGAATGGCCAGTATTATGGTTCATCTTTATTTTAAATTACACTAGAACCCTCTCTTCTGAACATTATATCCTATAGAGCAGAATGTGTCTTAAAGTTTATCAAGTCTTATTATCTCATTCCAGAAGAATTTTCAATGAAATCCATATTAAGCAACCTCTTCTTATGAGCATGGATACTAAGCATTTATGCTCCACTTTTGCCAAGTCTAAGCCAGCATTGAAGTACCCATCACACTTTTAAAAGACAATAAACAATCAACAATACTGGTAACATTATTAATATAATTCAAAACTCACTTTATTTTCTTTATCAGTTGACATATGAACAAGAAGAATCACCTACCTCCATATACATCATCCATGCAAATAATTTGGTCTCCTGCTTTTAAAAGATGGGTGATAGTCATAGTAGCTGCTAAACCTGAAGCAAATGCCAAACCTGAAAAAAATTTTAAAAAGTTAGAATAACCCAAAAGTCACACTTATTGGAGGTTTAGTATAGAGTTCTCACCTTCCATACAGAATACTAAGTCTCAATTCGCTCATGCACAGGCCTCATGTTTTGAGGCCCTCATGCATAGCAGCTACCCATCTGTCATGGAGGCTTGCATGCTGCAATGATGCTGAACAAATTCCAGAAGAGCTCCCAGACTAATGTGAACTAGGAGGGAAAAAAGTCCTGGTGATCTATTTCCGCAAGTTAGGGGCGGAGGCGGCAACAGCAAACAGCAACATTGTTAAAATAAAAATAAAATAAATGCTTGCATTTATCCCCCTCTTTCTGCTGATAGGAGAGCCATCACTTGAGTCTCCACATATCACCTGATTAATACGTTTACAGAATCTCCCTTCCTATTTCAAAAGTGAATTGGCTTTAAAGTGAAAAAATATGTGGGAAGACATTTTTGTGTTACATCAATTCTGCCTTGGTTATAACATTTCTCTGAAACAGAGGAAACAAAGCTTTAAGGAAGTCTGAGATAAAAGGCCAGCTAATTAAACTACAGTTTAAAAATACCAACACTAAAGAAATTTCAAACTTATGGAATGGAGCCAAGATATGATTTAGTCATTACTTATAAGGATATGCAACTCAGAAAATATTTCAACAAAACTTAAAATCAGAACTGAGATGTGGTTAATAAGTTTATATAATGATGATGGGCACTTAAAACTCTTATTTTCCATTCACTGCTTTGACATTGTCTCACATACTTTGATTGTTATCAGGAGGGATTAGTTCATGGAGAACAACATCATGTTGGGAAAAGTACATCAGCAAAAAAGAGGAAGACCCTCAATGAGATTAATTGACACCATAGCTGTAACAATGAACTCACACATAGCAATGATTGTGAGGATGCACAGGATGGGGCAGTGTTTCATTCTGTTCCATATACGGTCACTACGAGTTGGAATCAACTCAACGGCACCTAATAACAACTCTGATCTTATTTAGTATCATTTACTAAAAAGAAGAAGAAGATAAAACTATTGATCTCATCACATCCAGAGCAAAAGAGAAAGAAGGAAACCAAAGACTCAGAGAAGAAACTAATCTGTGGGACTAACAGTGTAAATGAACTATTGTCTCATGTACCCTGAGACAAAAAATAACTAGATGGTGCCCGTCTATCACTAATGACCATCCACCAGGGACACAACAGATGGATCCTGACAGAATAGGAGACAAATGTGGAACATAACTCAAAACTCTTAGAAAGTCAAGACTTACTGATCATGACCTGTTGAAACTAGTGGTCTCCCCAGGACTATTGTCCTGAGATACTCTTTAAATCTTGAAGTGAAACTACCCCAAGGTCACCTTTCAGCTGAATAACAGACTGGCTCATATAATAAAGAATATTACCAGTGGGTACTGCACACCTTCGAAAAATAATCTACATAAGACCAAATGGTTAACAATTACTCTAACTAAAGATAAAAGGGTAAAGGGAGAGGGAAGCCAGATTAATGGAAACAAAATATCCAGAATGGAATGAATGAGAATGTTGACATGTGAAAACTGTAACCAGTGTCACTGAGCAATTTGTGTAGTAGTAATTGTTAAATGGGAATCTAATTGGCTGTGCAAACTTTCACTGAAGATACAATAAAATTTCATTTAAATTTTTTTAAAAAGTATGAAAAAGATGATTTCACAGTGATCTGCTCCCTTAAAAAAAAAAAAAGAAAAATAAGATTTAAGTAGTTAATCTCTGAGGCACATTACCAAGGGCACATGGCTATTTAACAACACACCATGGTGCTAATCTCAGGCACAAATTATTTGAATGAATGAACCAGAGTATAAGAAAGTTTATATTCTTATAAGTAATGTTATAAAACTGAGTTAATGTTTATTTATACACACAGCTTTGGATGAAGAGGGTACTTACATGAATTCTAAGTGGTAAATACTGCCATTTTATCTCTTTTCATATTTGTTTTTACCTGATAATCACACTATGCATATCATACCAGCTGTGAGACCTTGAAGGAACTGTGGTAACACAATGGTTAAAGCATTCAGCTGCTAACCAAAAGATCAGTGGTTCAAAGCTACCAGCCATTCTATAGGAGAAAGATGAGGCAGTCTACTTCCATAAAGCTCTACAGCCTAGGAAACCCTATGGGGCACTTCTACTTTAACCTATAGGGTCCCTATAAATTGGAACTGACTTGATGGCAATTGGTTGGTTTTGGGTTTGGTGAGACCTTGGGCAAATGATTCAATGTTCTGTTCAATGTTTTATAGGAAGTAATCATAGTGCCTAAGGCACTTGACTGCTAACCAGAAGGCTGGCGGTTCAAACCTGCCAGCCACTCCTCGGAAGGAAGGTTAGGCAATCCTACTTCGTAGTGATACTGCCTCAGAAACCCAAGGAGGGGTCGCTATGCGTCGGGGCCAACTCGACGGCAAATAACAACAACAACAACAACAATCTTTATTTTAAGATCTGTTGGTGGTAGTTTAGTGAGTAGCCCCTGGGGTCTTAAGAGAGTACAAGCAGCCATCAAAGATGCAGTAATTGGTCTTTTTTCATCTGGAGCAAAGAAGAACGAATAAAACGAGACACATGGAAACAATGAGTCCAAGGGACTAGTGGACCATGTGAACCTCAGCCTACACAATCTGAGACCAGAAGAACCAAAAAAGGAGAGCTTCAATAGAGTGGGAGAGAGATGTGCAACAAAACTCAAAATCACAAAAAAAAAAAAAAAAGACCAGGATTACTGGTCTGATAGATGCTGGTGAAACTCCTGAGACTATGGCCCCCAGTCACCTACAGACCTGTAATTGAACTCACTCCCATGGCTTCCAGCCAAACAACAGAAAGCCATGGAAGGTGAACACATTGACACCAGGTAGGTAAACCCTTAGAATAATTAACCATGGGAGATCAGAAGGGCAGTATTTGCACAGGGAGCAGGATCAAAAGTCAGGAATGCATAGGAAGAAGGACACAGGGAAAAGGTAACCACAAGGAAGAAGTGAGAAGAAAGCTGCTACATTAGGGGATTGCAATCCATGTCATGAAACAAAATGTATGAGCTGTTGCATGGAAAATGAATTTGCTCTGTAAACTTCTACCCATATCACAATTAAAAAAAAAAAAAAAATTATGATCACAGCAAAGAAAACCCTATGCTGTTTTAGTTTTAGTAAGTCACACATCGGGTGGCCAAGAGTCAGAATTAACTTGATGGCAATTAATGACAACAATCTTTATTTTCTTTCAATTCTATATTCTGTGCTTTTATGATTTTCTCTACACATTTAAGAATGGGTTCCAGACTTTACAAATTTTGAAATAAAAATCACTTACTGTACTTAGCCCCATCCAGTGCTGCTACTGCCTTTTCCAAGCAATTCCTGGTGGGATTTCCAGAACGGCTATAGTCAAAACCCTGGAGAAAAGAAGCTAGAGTTCATCCTTCTTCTTCTTGTTGTTATGTGCTGTCGAGTCGGACCCAACTCAGAGTTCATCCTTAGAGATTTAAATTTAATATCTGAGTCCCAACACAGACATCTCCACAACTATCCTGAGGTTCATCCTCTCATAATGATCTTCTATTATTAGTCATGATATGTTTTGCCATTAGAGCCATGACAGTGTTATGGCTGTAATGATGTAGAAAGGCTCAGAAGTCAAACATACTGGATCACAATTCTGTGTCTGCCACTTAAGAGCTGAATGCCAATAGGTAAATTACTTAATCTTTTCAAGAATCAATCCCAGTATTTGTAAATGGGAATGATAACACCATATACTTTGTGAAACCGTTCTCGGGATAAAATAAGAAAATATATAATAAATTTTCTGATAATATCTGGCAAATGGTAAACACAAGGTAAATGAGTCTTCATCACTAGTATTCTTATTTTGTTAGACTCACCTTTACCCATTAATCTGGGAACATTAGGAAAAGGGGTATTACATGAGTTAACGGAGAATATAATCCCAACCTGTATTTCAATTCCTAAGAAATATGTAATAGTTTTGCTTAGCATGCAACAGGGAGGAAATGAACAGATTCTTCATATGTTCAACGTTCATAGTTTGGCTCTATAAACATGACCCCCAAAAAAGGGGGTAATTATACTTTTTAAAATTTGCATTATTATAGCTCCTTTTACATGTATGGCACTATACTTACTTGCTTATATAGACATCTTATTTAATCCTTATTACCTGCTTTGAGGAAACAGAAGCTAAATGCTATAGTAACCTAGGGTGTGTGAGAGCCAGAATTCAAACCCAGGATGTGAACACTGCCTAAAAGTCCTATAATTTTCTCCCCCTGCTTCATATAAATGAGTCCTTAGGTGATACAAACAGTTAAACATTAGGCTACTAACCAAAAGGTTGTCAATTCAAACCCATTCTGAGATGCCTTGAAAGAAAGGTCTAGTCATCTGCTTCTGAAAGGTCACAGCCATTGAAAACTCCATGAAGCACAGTTCTACTGTGAAACACATGGGGTCACTGCGAGTCAACAACTGGTGTGTGATTGAGTGTGTGTGTGTGTGTGTGTGTTATGTGCTTCATTTAACATATAATGAAACAGTAGCTATTGACTTTTTTCTTATTGAAAAGCTTCTATTAGTAATAATAGTAATACAAAAGAATGTTTGTTGCTTTGCTTCCTTGTTTTTGTCAAACTGAAAACCAAAATCAAAACTAAACTCATTGCTGTTGAGTCAATTCTGACTCATGGCAACTCTATAAGACAGAATAGAACTGCCCCATAGAATTTCAAAGGCTGTAATCTTTATAGAAATATATTGCCACATCTTTCTCTCATGGATTAGCTGGTGGGTTCAAGCCACCAAGCTTTTCGTTAGCAGTCAAGCATGTTAACCACTGAGCTACTAGCGTACCCTATCATACTGAATAGATATATCTTATAGAACTCCAGGATATACTCATCACATCTCACCATCACTTCTTTGCCATTACTTGCAGCTATACACTTCCAGACAGAAAAAAAGTGTTTGTATTCATATGGTGACTGCCACAGAAAAGTACCCATGTTTCTATAAATAGTTATGCAGACATTTAACTTTGTGGGAGCTCTGGTGGCGTAGTGGATAAGGAACTTGACTGCCAACCGAAGGTCAGCGGTTCAAACCAACCAGCTGCTCCGTGGAAGGAAGATGGGGTAATCTACTTTCATAAAAATTTACAGCCTCAGAAGCCCAATGTGGGTCGCTGAGTCAGAAACGACTTGATATAAGTTTTATTTAGCTTTGTAGAGGGGAAAAAAAGCATACTTGAAGGCTCAGTGGCAAATCTCAACTCTCAGGCCCATTCAATCACTTTCTAAAACGGACTACAAAACTAAAGAATTCTCATTCAACTCTTTACATCCACTTTAGTGCTCTTGATTGATTTTTTTTTAAAAGGTATCAGGCTTGGTCTTTTGGGTTTTACTAACCCTGGCAGCTTTATAAAAGCATTTAATAATTAATATCATGGCTGAATGGTTAACTTTTGTACTTAGTTTCAAAGTTTGGGCAGCATTCATTTAAACTTTAAATTTAATTTAAATTAAATCAGGAAAAACTGCATGCTTAGAAGACAGATCATGTACATACTTTGACTATGAAATACAGTAGCTAGGAGAATCCTAAACAAGCTATAGAAATGTCCTTCGATGTACCTCACAAAATAAAAGGCTAAGTCTAAGAATTTTTCTTATGGTCTCTTAGCTCAGAAGGGGAGTTCTGGTAGCATAGTATCTAAGGCATTTGACTGCTAACCAGGAGGCTGGCGATTCAAAACCACCAGCCACTCCTTGGAAGGAAGACTGGGCAATCTACTTCCGTAGAGATACTTCCTCAGAAACCCAAGGAGGGGTCGCTGTGAGTTGCAATTGACTCCAAGGCAGTGAGTTTGGTTTTTGTTTTTTTTTCCCAGCTCAGAAAAAGTGGTATCAGAATTCAAACCCAGATCCCCTACCCACATGATTTGTATATAGTCAATCACTATAAGCCATATTGCTTAAATGATGCAATGGGTTACATTATTGCTAACATCATCTGAGTTAGCACAGGGTAGCTTAGTGTCTTGAGTATGGGTGATTCGAGAGCAGGGTTTGAATTTCAGCTTTATCATTTACCAGCCATTGTGGCCTTAGGCTAGGTTACTTAACAACCTTATACCTCAGCTTTTTCATTGGAAAAAATGACAGTGTAGTTCTGACTAGAGTGGCTGTTAGGATTAAATGAGGTAACACATGTAATACAGGGGATGTAACACATATATGTATCTAGCACGTAATATGGGAAGAGCTCTGACTGCTAACCAGAAGGCTGGAGGCTCAAACTGTTTAGTAACTTTAATACCTAAATACAGCTACTGGGAACAATTTTAATTACCCTGAGATTATCAGACCCTGAGATTTTTTATCTGACTCTTTACTACTAATTTTTATAATTTTTGCTGCTAAAGGATAATTCTATAGGTGCTCTGGTGGTGTACTGCCTAAGGCATTTGACTGCTAATCCTAAGTCTGGCAGTTCAAACCTACCAGGCGCTCCACGGAAGGAAGATGGGGCAATCTACTTCAGCAAAGATTTACCGCCTCAAAAACCCAAAGGGGGTCGCTATGAGTCGGAATCCACTCGGTGGCAGTGAGTTTGGTTTGTTTTTTTAAAGGATAATCCTAGAACATTGTGTCCCTCAGTTTTCAACTGCAAATTTGCCAAAGTTACACGAATTTCAATCAAATCTCTTTGACAATTTGTACAAACTGTTCCTTCCAGTTTGGCTTATCAAAAGACGTCATCACTGGGTCATCCAATACAGAACTTTTCTGCAAGGAGGATAACAGGTATAGGAAATATCCTTTCAAGGTGCCTTTCTAACGTGTAAACCATATCATAAATTACTTGCGTGCCTATTTAATTCATAAGCCATCTCTCTTTTCCCACCCCACCCTGGACCGCCCCAGATCCTGCTCACCGAGTGCTGACCGGGTGCTCCCTGCTTGAACGTGGTGGACAGTGAGATAGGGGGCACTACAGCCTGAGAGCGCCATTGCTCTGGTTCCTGGCCCACATGGATGGCCTGCGTGGCGAAATGTTGGAAGCCAGGCAGGAAATCATGTGGAAAGTCGTCTTTTTTCTGCATGTTGAGCTGCGAATGAAAAAAAAAGAGAAAAGAAGCGAGGAAGAGGAAATTCGGAAACTGAGGAGTCAGGAGAGAGAGAAAAAACAGGAGAAAAGGGAGATCAGGGGCTCCAGCAGACCGACAGCGAACGCACAAAAACCGGATACCTAGGCTTTGGGGCTGAGACTTTATTTGCGGGCCTGGAGGGTTGCGGTCTCTGCCGGGCGGAGACATCTCAGTCCAATCAGCGGAGGACCCGACGCGGCCTCCGCTCCTTATTGGCTGGAAGCAGAGGCGTTGCCCGAAGCGTCGCCGCGACAGCTCTTCCCGGTGCTGAATGTGTAGTGAAGCTGGAGTTGGTAGGTCTACGTGGTGCCGAGATTTCTGAGTCCCGGCGCTGAGGAAGCTACTACTCTGGCTCCTGTGAGACACCCAGCCTTTTTTGTGACCTTAGGCCGTACGTTCGCCCGAGACATGGAGAAAGGCGGGCTTGGTGTCGAAACCAAGTAACTTGTTAACAGGCCACACAAACAGCCTCCTCCTCTTACTGCAGCCTGCGCCCCTGACCCGGCCACCCTTTGTTCTGAGAGCTGTGCTGACGGACGCAAAGGACAGGGTCAAATAAACCAAGTGGAGAATCGTTACGAAAACCATGGCCCGAGCTGCCAGATTTGCAGCTCGGATTCTCATTAACCTCAAGCAACCTGCCTTTTAAAGTACACTGAACTCTGTAATGACCCAGTGCTTGTGATGAATATGCGAGGGTCATATTCAAATAATAGCGAAGCTACTGTAGCGAGGACCTCTAAGCAGAACGAATGTAGCTTCCTAAAAGCTGTTCAAACATTGAAGTTTTTTCAAGAAGTGTCATTATCTTCTATTGAAGTACTATAAGACACTCTGAGGAAATAGTGTGGCTTTGAATAACTTGTTAGAGCCTCAAATCCTTACCACCACCACCACCACCCCCAAAAAAATGCATTCTTTGTTATAGGATTGGCAACAACATCCTTGTAGGAAAAAGGAAGCAGCCCTTGGTCACAATTTACCACTCACAGCCACCCAGATCACAAGGATCACTCTTTAAAAACAAACACCACAAAAATCTCCTTGTTCTTTGAACAGTCCAGACCTGGACCTACTTGGCATTGTGGCTATTTTCTATGCTAGGGAATTTAGGAATATTTCTATTCCTGAAAAGTATCAATGTAAAGATCTGAGGTTTTTATTAATTAATTAAGAAAAAGAATACTAAACAGATTAACAATTTACAGTTTGAAAGAAAGGTCTGAAAAGAAGGGATAAGGCAATTTGCTTTTGAAATTAGCTTCTGAGAAACTTACCCATGAAGCACTAGAGGAGCAGTGCCTAGGGCCTGTGAGTTTTAAAAAAACCTACAAAATTTTTATGCCTGGAAAAATATTATGGAGTCCAAAACACTACTAGAAATTAATACATATTTAATAATTTAATTAATGTTTTCAAATGTGTGTGTGCAAAACATTGTCAACTACAATTCAGCTCAACTGAAGCAGAAAACCCACGGCAATCTAGTTTATTTGGACTCATAGCAACATTGTAGGACACACTACAGCTGTCCATAGAGTTTCCAAGTTTGTAAGTCTTTACTGAAGCAGACTGCCTCATCTTTCTCCTGGGGAGTGGCTGATAGGTTCAAACCCCCAACCTTTTGTTTAGCAGCCAGTGCTTTAACCACAGTGCCACCAGAGCTCTTAGCTCACCTATATATGGGTATATTTTTTGATGTGATATGGCACTTAGGGTGAAGGGAAACAAAAACAATCCTGATTAGTTTACTTCCTAGTATTTGTTGAGAAACCCTGAGTTATATAAATATGGATATTTTCATTAGTGTTAGTGTGATAAAAGATTGCTAAAAAGATGACCACAGTGTAAATGCCCAAAATTAGAATTTTTTATCCCATAAATGGGAGCTCTGGTAGCATAGTGGCTAAGGCACTTGACTGCTAACCAGACGGCTGGCAGTTCAAACCCACTAGCCACTCCTCGGAAGGAAGGTTGGGCAATCCTACTTCCGTAGTGATACTGTCTCGGAAACCCAAGGAGGGGTCGCTATGAGTCAGGTCTGACTCGACGGCACATAACAACAATAACAACAACAACAAATTGAGAAAGCTTTATTAGATAACAGCATAGTTATATCTATCAATAATTTAAAATACTCATCTCTATGATTCATAAATTTCACTTTTAAGAATGTATCTTTCAGATGTATTCCTACATGCATGCAAGACCAGCAAGGGTGTTCCTTGTACCAATATTTTTATGGAAAAAAATTACCCATCCCTAGGACACTGTTCAATCAGTTATGGGTATAGCCATGTGATGGTTACAATGCACCAAGAAGGGGAAGGAGATAATATATGTGCTCGTACATTAGGTCACTAATTTCTAAGAGAAGAAAACTAGGCGCAAAGCAATATATATTTTATGTTTCTACTTTTTCAAAACAATATAAACTAGTGAAATATTTTTAGTAAGTTATGTATGATTTAGTATGTATAACATTATTCTGGAGTACACAAGGAACTATTTGGATGACCATGGGTTTGCAGCAGAAAGGTGATTTTCTTTGTATTGTATGCCCTTTGTGTTGTTCATGTTTAATAGCATGGGCATATATTACTTTTTCAATAATAATAATGACAAAAATACCTAATTTAAAGTTGAGCACATTACTTAAAAAATTTTTAAGTGAATATATAATAGCTATTTTTAAATACTGTAAATGTTATACAGTTTGGATGTGTGCTAATGCATCATGTAAGTTGACTTGTAAACGCAAAACAGCATTATCATAAAACACTTACTGAAAAACTATTCATTCTTTTTGGAAATGGAACCAACGAAAGGCAGATATTTTAGAGGAAATAGAAAACTCATTTTTAAAATTTCTTTACTATTTACTCCTTTTATAAAATATCTAATGGATTATTATTTTCATAATACTTAATACTGTCAAGGGAGCTCTGGTAGCATAGTGCCTAAGGCACTTGACTGCTAACCAGAAGGCTGGCGGTTCAAACCCACCAGCCACTCCTCGGAAGAAAGGTTGGGCAATCTAGTTCCGTAGTGATACTGCCTTGGAAACCCAAGGAGGGGTAGCTATGAGTCGGGTCTGACTCGACAGCACATAACAACAACAACAACAATACTGTCAAAATGGCATTGAATTTCTTGCATGTATACACAAAGATTTCATTAAAGTCAGGCTATAGATGAAGATATCATGACTGATTAACAAAAATGGCACAGTATGGACCTGGAAGGAATGTCCATATGCTGTATTATTATTGTCAAGCATAACCGTAGGCAATGATTAGTGATCCACAGTTGTCTCAATTAAGAACTCGTGTTGTAACCTCTTCCTCTCTCTCCCTAAAATAAACCCCCTTCTCTTAATTCCATTGGCAAAAGCCTAAGTAAGAACAGAAATTTTTCCCCTTTGAGAAAAAAAAGAGAGAGAGAGAGATCTAATCATTGCCTATACATAAAATTCCTAAAGAGCACTGAAGGAGCTCTGGTGGCACAGAGCTATGGCATTTGACTGCTAACCAGAAGGTTGGCAGTTCAAACCCATCAGCTGCTCTACAGAAGGAAGATGGGCAATCTACTTCCATAAAGATACATAGCCTCAGCACCCCAAAGGGCCAGAGTCCTCTAAAGCAGTGAGTTTATTTTGTTTCTTTGTCTGAAGGAGCACTGATGGCTCAGCTGCTAGCCAAAATACCAGCTACTCTGCAGGCCAAAGCTGTGGCAGTCTGCTTCTATAAAGGATTACAGCCTTGAAAACCCTATGGGACAGTTCTACTCTGCCCAATATGGTCACAGTTAGGTGGAATCGACTCAGTGACAATAGGTATGGGGTCCGTGGGTGGTGCCAATGGTGGAAGCTTGCCTGCCAGCTGGAAGGTAGGCAATTGAGTCCACCCATGGGTACCTCCAAAGAAAGGTCTGTGGATCTACTTCAGAAAAAATCAGCCATTGAAAGCCTTTTGGAATATGTTGACATATATGGGGTCTCCATGAGTCAGAATCAACTCAATGGCAACTGATTTGATTTGATCTTTTTTTGATAGATCACTATAATGGATCACTTGTGATGCTTACTGTATTTGCCAGGGAGAACAATTTTAAAAAGTACTAACAAAAAGAAATGGAATCCGATTTTGATATGACATAACTGAAAGTGATATAAGCTTTAAAATAAAAGCGTAAGTGTCATTGGGGAGCTCTGGTACATAGTGGTTAAGGCACTTGACTGCTAACCAGAAGGCAGGCGGTTCAAACCCACCAGCCACTCCTCGGAAGGAAGGTTGGGCAATCCTACTTCCGTAGTGATACTGCCTGGGAAACCCAAGGAGGGGTCGCTATGAGTCGGGGCCGACTCGACGGCAAACAACAACAACAACAACAACAAGTGTCATTGATGGGACTATCAAATTTAATATCAATGGACACTGCAGAACAAATTTATTGCTTTATTGTATTGATGAGATGCAAAGAAGATTGTGATACGCTCGTACTAACATGCACAGCCAGTGAGTAGTATCTAAGCTGAGAAGAGTATACAAAATTGCAAAGATTTGGGATAAAGAAGTAACTCAGAAATCATTCCACGATGTTGTGAAAGGAGTCATCTGTGACTGAAAAACATAGCCTGTTTTCACTTTTGGACTATTTTGTTACCCAACATTTTCATTTATGATGTATAAATGAAAAATTGGGAGCTCTGGTAGCATAGTGGCTAAAGACACTTGCCTGCTAACCAGACGGCTGGCGGTTCAAACCCACCAGCCACTCCTCGGAAGGAAGGTTGGGCAATCCTACTTCCGTAGTGATACTGCCTCGGAAACCCAAGGAGGGGTTGCTATGAGTCGGGGCCGACTCGACGGCACATAGCAACAACAACAACAAATTAAAAATTAAAAATTAATTAAAATTAATTTTAAAATTAGGATGCCTGCACTCCTCGGAAGGAAAGTTGGGCAGTCTACTTCCCTAGTG